CTGAAAGGGAAGAACTGGTTGACAGACTATAATAAGGAGTGCTTTAGTTCCCCTCCACCTCTGAGCCCCATCCCTACTTCCCCATCCAGGAGATGGGAGGTCTATTGTCTAGAGAACTCGAACCAGAGAGTCACAGGGGGGTCCAGGAATAATGGAGGGTAGGGATAAAATTCTGTACTGAAAAGTGTGCGCACCTGCATACGTGTAGTGGAAGAACCTTCCTTTCTTCACCCACCACACTTTCAGGTTTCTAGAAGTGAGACCTATTATACACATCCTCCTCCCTCACCCTATACTTGCCTGTCCCCACTGGGGGCTTAAGGGTTTTCTCTAGAGAAACCAAATGGTCCCAGAAAGAGAACCGACAGATAATGACATTTGGGGCTCTCCAAAAAAAAAGCTGCTGCTCATCAATCACCCTTTGGTGAAGCTGCCACTCGGTAAGCCCCACCCATGCCCACAGAGCTTCCAATTCATTTTCTGATACTCTTTATTAAATTGGCACAGATAGCCAATCAAGAACCATTGACATTTGAGTAAAGCTTCTAAGATCTCCCTTGCTCAGATTTCTTTGCTGGACCCTTGTCTTCTTGACTTCTAAGGCTGATTCAGTCCTTGCTCCTCTTCTCTCCTTTACCTACACCCACTCCCTTAAAGAGTTCTTGCAAAAAAAAGAGATTTCTTCCAGTCTTGTGGTTCTAAATCATCTTTGTGTGCCAATGACTCTTGAATTTATATTTCCAGCTCAGATCTCTCTGCTGAGATCTCTCTCTGTCGAATGGAGAATTCTGAAATGCAGATTCGTATATCCACCTGCCTGCTATCTCTCTACTCAGATGTGTAAACAATGTACTAGGCTATTTCCGACCAACAAGAAAGGATCCAAGTAGCTTAGTGAATGACAATGCTTACAGCCTCTCCTTAGCTGTAGCCTAAGTCACATCTCGGACACAACATGTCAAACAGAACCTCCCAGTCGTCCTCCCAAAACTGCTCCTCCTGCTGCCTTCTCTCTTTCTGTTGTCTCTCTCTGTTGTCTCTTGGGATGCTTGGGCCAAATCTCTGAGGTCGTTCTTGACGCTTCTCACACTCCGTATTTATTATGTCAGGAAATTCTCTTGACTTTATCCTCAAAACATATCCAGAATCTGACCATTTCTCACCATCTCTACTGCTACCTCCCTGGTTCAAGTTAGCTTCCCAACCGAATTTCCTGCTTCTACCAATGCCTCCATGTAGACTGTTCTCAGCAAAGCAGACCAAGTGATCCTTTTAAAATATAAGATCGTGTTACTCCTCTGCTCAAAACCTAGTAATGACTTTCTCTTTCACTCAGAGAAAAGCCAAAGTCCTTACAACGGCTTTTAAGGCCCTACATGATCCATCCATTACCTTTCTGACTTTACCTCCTACCACTTTGTCAGCTCCTTCTCTCAGCCACACTGACTTCCTTGCTAACCCACCAGGCACATTCCCACTGAGGGTCTTTGCACTGGCTAGTCCCTCGGCCTCAAGAAGGTTTCCTCTGCATGTTCACATGGCTAACTTTTTACCTACTTCAAGCCTTTGCTCAAGTGTCACCTTCTCAGTGGGGTCCACACTGACCACCCTAAATAGCAATCCACCCCTCTGCCCCCTTACAATGCTCTCCTTTTTCTTAACACTTACCACCTCTTGCATAATATAGTATTTTCTTATAATATTACCTGTTTACTTTCTGTCTTCTTTGACTATAAGGTAAACTTCAAGAGGGCAAGGATCTTTGTCTAATTTTTTCACTGATAAACTACGGGAACAGTGCCAGGCATATAGAGGTGCTCAATAGATTTTTAATGGGCAAATAATAAATAAAAATGAAAGACAGGGGCTAAAATTGACAAATAAGGAACTTGGAAAAAACAGAAATTATACAAAAAATTTTTTAGTATATGTGCTGCCGAAGCGAGCACTATACAAAAAATTTTTTAAAAATATTATCATTAAAATCTTCAGATAAAAGAGATTAAACTGTATCCATAAAACAAAAAAGGGATAATTTAATAGCAGCAGCAATAACTGAAGAACAAAGAATAAAAATTAATTCTTAGAAATTAAAATTGATATCTGAATTTTTTTTAAAGATTAGTAAATAGAAGTTCAAGAAATTTCCCAGAAAAAACAAAAGTCCAAGAAGATGAAAAACCAAAGATAAAAGAAAACTAGATGACCCATCCAGAGGTCAACATAAAACTAATATAGGTTTTAAGAATAAAGGAACAGGGGCACCTGGGTGGCTCAGTCATTAAGCATCTGCCTTCGGCTCAGGTCATGGTCCCAGGGTCCTGGGATCGAGCCCCGCATCGGGCTCCCTGCTCAGAGGGACATCTGCTTCTCCCTCTCCCTCTCCCCCTGCTTGTGTTCCCTCTCTTGCTGTGTCTCTCTCTCTCTCTGTCAAATAAATAAATAAAATCTTAAATAAATAAATAAAAAGAATAAAGGAACAGAGAAAATGAAGAAGAGGAAATTCGGGGAAAAAGACATTTTAAAAAAATTCTAGAACAGAAAGACATGAGTTTTCAGGCTATAAAAAAAAGCCTTATCTATGGTTCAGCAGAGTGAAGTCAAATGCCTCTAAGCAAGCACAGCACCATAATATCTTAGGACATTGGGATGAGGGGAAGATCCTAAAGCCTCCACAGTTTCCAAACAAAGAACTGGGAATTAGAATGGCACAGAACATCATGACAATATCAGTGGATACCGGAAAATAATAAAGGAATATTTTCAAAATTCTAAGGGTAAGGATTTTTAACATAGAAATGCATGCCTAACTGAGCCATCAATCAAATGTGAGGCAGAATAAAGGCATATTTAGAAAAGCAAAGTCTCAAAATTTGACCAACTATTCACCCTCTCTCAGGAAACTTCTGCAGGGTATGTTCCACCAAAATGAGAGAAAACCAATAAACAGGAAAATAGGAGATCCAGGAAAACAGGCAATCCAAATCAGGAGGATATGAGGAAAATTCCTAGGATAATGACAGAAGGTCCCACAATGACAGCATGTAGCAGGTTTAAAAAGCATACTCCAGACCAGAGCAGAAAGATGGAGGACTCAAGCAGAAATGATCCAAGAAAAAAAACAAATGGTATTACTAGATTAATGTATTTGAATGTATTAAGAGAAGATTTTCAGTTCTGTTAAAGATTTGAGGATGAAACTAAGCAAACAAATAAACAAAGAGGCAATCATTAACCCCAGATAAAACAAAAAATTTCACAAGAAGGAGATGAAATCATAGTATACTATTTGACTCAGCTTTGAACATTACTTATTTAATTACAATAATATAAACATTGGCTATTGGTTTAACTCAACAAAGTGATATAACTGTACTGGAAGGTGGAAGTAAGGAAATGAGGAAGTAGAGAGACATGAAATTTTTTCTTCCATAAAAGGAAGCTAATTGATAATGTCTAAAATTTGTGAATCAATAAATAGCAGTGAAAGCATAATGTTTAGAAATATGGAAGTAAATACCAAAAGTAGTAGTCAGAAGGGTGCCGATGGTTGTCTCTGGGGTTGGATTGGCAGTAAGGAGAGTTATTTGTTGCTTTCAAGCTTGTAATCTCACTTTATTTTCAGACCACATATGTGTATTACTCTGATAAAAATAAATATTGGAGTGTGGGACAGACTGGCACCAAACCAATGCTTTCTTCTTGACATAATCATAAAGATTCAAAGACAATTGAAATGGAAATGAGTTTCTCATCATGTAGTTCAACATTACTGAAAATCGTATCTTGGGCATAAAGTTTCAGTCAAGTAAGAGATCAAGCTCTGGAGATCTGCTGTACAACACGGTACCTCTACGAACAATAATGTTTTATACATTTAAATTTTTTAAGAGGATATATCTCATGTTACATGTTCTTACCACAACAAAATTTTGTTGAAAAAAACATGTTTAAGCACCTCTTAAAATTATCTCTTCTATTAACATACCACACTTCCAAGCCTGGGGAATAGTCTGTGCAATTCTTGTTGAAGCAAAGAGATGGACAAGAGAACAATGCTGTCAGTTCAAGGATCACGACTTGCCCAAAGTGATTCAAGATGTAACAAAAATCTGAATAATCCAATAATCATTAAAGAAATCAAATTCCATAGTTTAAAATTTTTTCCATAAGGAAAACGTCAGTTCAGATCATTTTACAGGCAAATTCTAACAACTTTGAAGGAACACAGTCTCCCAGTCTTATTAAAGTTCTCTGAGAAAATAATTCTCTAACTCATTCCATGAGACTAGTATAATCTTGATATAAAAGTGAGACAAAGATCATAGAAGAAAGGAAAATTATAGGCCCACGTCACTCATGACATAGATGAAAAATCCCAAAATATTAACAAAAGAACCAAGTGACATATAAATGGTGACACATGCAATGTTTCTAAAAGCACTTATTTGGGGGATGAAATCTAAAGGGAGCCCTAGCATCTGCAGCAGCCAAATTCATGGTGTTTATGGTGGAACATTCTGTGTGCATCTGAAAAGACAAGATGATGAAAATCACTACAAGTTTGTGTGAAATGGAAAGCTTTCTCATTCTTACAGGTTTGGAGTTTTAGGAAATGGTTCATGGGCAGAGGGTAAGACTGACCCACCTCTGTTCCATGTGGAAAGGAAAAATAAAGATAGAAAATTGATGTCATAACTAATCCAGCTGGAGGCTATTGAACTCTCAGCATACTCAAGGGACTCTTTAACCAAACTGCCATGCTTAGAGATGTATAGCAGTCTTTCTCAAGATCCCAGCCTTTTCTGTAAGTGTACCCTGTAGGTGGGTAGAGACTCCATGTACTAGATGCTTCAAGCTTCAAGGATCATGAGAAGGGGTTTGGCTGTGAAGCGCGGTTTGTTCCAGTGGGATACCTTCTCTGTACCTCTTTCCCCAGATCAGAATTCTCTATATGTGCTAGGCCCAGACCCCAGAAGGGTGGGGGAAGCGTTACTTACTGTGCACGAAATATCCTTTCAAACTCTGGTGACCCAGAGACTGCTGGGGGTGTGACTTTGTATTTTAATCTTGCCTTTCCTACATGCAAAGCAAAATAACCTGCAAGTATATAGAGGGATTAACAATTAAAATGTGACACATCACTATTGATTAGAAAAACACAAATTTAAATCATAATTAGATACCACTACATACCTATTAAAATGTGTAAAATTAAAAAGACAAATCATATCAATTAAAAAAGAGAGGTAAGGCTCAGCCAGAATTCTCATACACTCTGGGGGGAACATAAAATGGTACCATCACTTTGGAAAACCATTTGGAATGGATTTTTTTAGTTAGACATATAGACCATATAGCCAATCATTCCACTCCTAGTTATTTCCTCGAAATTAAATCGTATGTCCATACAAAAACTTGTACACAAATGTTCACAGCAGCTTTATTCATAATAGCCAAAAATTAGGAACAACTCTGCAATTGTTAATTTTATTGTGTCAACTATGCTAGGCCATGGTGCCCAGCCGTTTGGTCAAACACCAGTCTAGATGTTTCTGTGAAAATATTTTTTGGATGTGATTAACATTTATATCAGTAAACTCTGAGTAAAGCAGATTACCCTTCTTCGGTGGATGGGCCTCACCCAATCAGTTGAAGGCCTGAAGAGAAAAGCCTGAAGTTCCCCAAAGAGAAAGGAATTCTGCCTCCACACTACCTTCAGGCTCCACAGTGCAACACCAATTCTTGCTGGAATTTCCAGCCTTCTAGCCTGCCCTGCAAATTTCAGAGTTGCCAGCCCCCAAAATAGCTATGAACCAATTTTTTTAAATAAATGCCTGTGTGTGTGTGTGTGTGTGTGTGTGTTGTATTGGTTTTGCTTCTCTGGAGAACCCTAACATAAATGTTGGTCAACAAGCTAATGGATAAACAAATTGTGGTATATGTGGTATATCCATATAATAGAATACTATTTGACAGTAAAAAGGAATGAACGATTGACACATAAAACAACATGGATGAACCTCAAACATATTATGCTGAATGACAGAAGCAAGACCAGAAGAGAATAGTACTGTATAGTTTCACTTATATAAAATTCTCAAAAATGCAAATGAATCCATAATGACATAAAACAGATCATTGGCTACCTAGAGAGGACAAGAGCCAGGAGGGAGGGTCACAAGAAAACTTTTGGGAATGATGCCTCCCTGTCTGACTCAGTTTCCCTACTATGAAATGATTATGACTTTGTTCTCCTTCCTTGGCCACATTTGTTGCATTAGATCATCCAAGCCCAATGCCAGAGTCACTTACATCTGATGACCAGCCCTGTAAAGCTCATTGGCTTCCAGACCCATGCTTCCTCCTTGGTCAGATGTTCTCACCTCCTGTCTTTATCACCCTCTTTCTGCCTCATAATTAACTCTGGGGTCTATGATTTCGCTTTAGATTATTTCTTCTGGTTTCGGTTCCTTACCAGTTCTCTCCAATACAATTCCGATCTTACTTATTTTAGTACCTACATACCCATTTCCTACTTGCTCATGTTTCCAAACTAGTTTCCTTTAGCGCACCACGTTCCTAGCTTGTGTGACAGTCTTAGGCGTGATGCATTTCCTCCTGAGACCCAATACTATCTCCCCTCTGACAAGTCAGTAAATAGTGAGCCTGGTTCAGTAAGGGCTCACACAGCAGGCCTCTTCCCACCCCCTGACTTCCTCTCTGCTACAAATAAACCGTTGCTCAGGATTTAAACGCTGTAGCTGAACATCTAGAGTGTATAAATGCGTAGCTGGAGTCTCTCATTCAAACTGCAGTGCCACCCTGAAGCCAGCCAGAGCAGGGTGAAGATCCGGAAAATGTGGGACTGAGCACTGTTTCCAGCCCTGGCTAAATCCTCACGAGGCAGCACGATTCTGGGGGCGCCGACGAGTCATGAGCCCCGCTGGAGCCAAAGAGGAGATGTGTCTGCAGAGGGGAAATAGGGAGGCTGTTCTGTACCCTGCTGCCACCATGGCCCCACAGCCTCGGAGAAAACACTTGGTAAGGCTTCTTGCTTCCATCTGTAAGATGGAAACAATGAAAGATGTGTGCTCCTTGATTTACACGTGGTAAATGGTGCAAGAACCCGGAGCTTCGAAATGAAGCTGTATGTGAAAGCCTCGAAAGTGCCGCCTTCCTCCCGGCTGTGCGTAGCACCTGGCCGCACCTGGCCACACCTGGCCACACCTGGCCGCACCTGGCCGCACCTGTCTGCAGCAGCGGCGACCGTGAGGAACGAGCTCCCGGCAACGGCAGGGGTGTTTGAATGCTCCCCCCACGCCCAGCCCACCCACAGCCCCGGGAGGAAGGATTCAGTTGGGCCATCGTCTCCCAGAGGAGGAGAAGCCCTTTCTGCGCTTCCAGGTCTGGGGCCTTAGAGAGACCGTGGCGACCGCTGGGATCACATGAGGAGGGTGGAAAGGCTGGTTTACCTTTTCTGGACGGCACCATTTTATTTCCCTCCCTACCAGTCGCCTAAAAACTACTTGGGAATACTCTCCTTTTGCTATGCCTGTCTCTCCTCTTTTCTTCACTTTCTCCGGAGGGATGTATGTATGCTGGGGTGAGTGAATCGAGACACCCCCTCCCCCTGCCCCAGCCATAGCTCAGCTTCTTGACTGTGTGGCTGCCTCTCAGTCCAGCGGAAACTTCTTTCTGTGCGAAGCAGCGGAGGATGGGGACTGACCATGCTAAGCACCAACCCCAGGCCGGGCACCCTGGGGGGCATTTCTCACCCAGCGTCCTGCTTAACCCTCTTTGATGAGGACATTGAAGGACAGAACATCCTGGCCAGGGGCACCCAGCTGATAAGTGGCTGAGCTGGACAGATAGGAGACTGTCTGTCTTCAAACCCTGACCTGCTTCTACCATGGTTCATGGTGTTCCTTCTCCATAAACACACTTTTGCAGAAGCAGCAAATTCTGGTCCTTCATGTCAACTCAACAGTTCTGTCTTCTCTTTCTCTCTCTCCCCGACCCAATCAGTAAACGTTCCCTGTCTACCGCTGTTAAAAAAGAGACAACAGGCCCCAAATGGAGTTATTTGCACTAAGCTGATATCACGGAACTGAGCCTTAATCCCTCACTTAATGACGGTTTCAACCTCTCCCAGAAGTGGAATCTTACACCAGCCAATCTGGAATTACCTGGTTAGCACTAGTGAGGCAATCGGCCCGATAGATAAATGCTATCTAAAAAGGTGCCCTTTGCCACAAACAATCCCCCCTTCTGCCTGTAAGTCTTTCATACTGTACAGCTCTCCAGAGCGCCTGTCTGTCTGCTAGATGGGATGCTGCCTGATGCATGACTCGTTGAATAAAGCCAATAAGATCTTTACAACTTAATCCGTTGAGTTTTGTTTTCTAACACCACCAACCACCACGGGCCCAGTCCCCTCTCCTCTCCACCCACTCCCACCCACCCCCACCTGACCTCTGGCCACAGTTCCCACTGTCCCCTGCACCCACCAGCAAACAGAAGCCTCTCTGTGAGGCTGACAGAGGCTCTGGGGCATCTGTGGCCCCACTCCTGTGCTCCCTGCAGCACCAGGAAGGGGAAACAGGGATGGTATGCTTCCGTGGAGGTGTATGTGAATCAGCGGGTCAGCACGGGGGTGCCCGAGACCCAAGTGCTGCTTTAGTTGGCAATAAACATCCTGCTCTACTCTAGAATGTGAATCAAACCACAAAATGTGTGTCATGGTATCCTATTTTCATAAATACACAAAACACACTGATTAGGCAAGACACTGAACATGCATGCAGGGTGGGACTTTATCCAAAGCTGTGGTCCCTTCATGCTGTGGCCGTCTGTGCACCCTGGCTCTGCACCCCTTTCCTGGGAGGCGCACACTTAGAAAAATAAATATGCACGGTTGGTTCCTAGTCTTGCTCCCCAGTGTCCAGACCCTTTTTCCCATTTAGCATGTTAAGTTGATATCATAGATAAGATGATAAGAATTGAGCAAATGTGACACCCCCCCCCCATGGAGCAAATGCTCTTTACATAACCAGGCAATTGATATACCCAATAATCCTAGTGGGAAGGTGCTTTAAGGTTTCCCATTCATCACCTAACCTGAAGCTCGTATTTCTGCACATTTCTTTAAACCTGATCTGATTATCATACCTACCGTAGGCAGTTCATTTTTAAGAAACATTAATTAAAAGATCAGGGTTGGGGCGCCTGGGTGGCTTAGTCGTTAAGCGTCTGCCTCGGCTCAGGTCATGATCCCAGGGTCCTGGGATCGAGCCCCGCATCGGGCTCCCTACTCCGTGGAAAGCCTGCTTCTCCCTCTCCCACTCCCCCTGCCTGTGTTCCCTCTCTCGCTGTGTCTCTGTCAAATAAATAAAATCTTTTAAAAAGTAAAATTTAAAAAAAAAAATAAAAGATCAGGGTTCAAGAAACCACAGCCATGGTCTAAAGCAGGTAAGATGTTTCCGTTGGAACACTCCGAATTAGTGTGGATAGACCTCTTCCATCAGGTTAGCTGGTGCTTTTCTACCACCCATCTGAACTGGGCTGTGGGTTGTAACCACAAACGTGGCAGAATCGCTGGGCTCAGAGAGCCTACCTCGGCCCCTTTTCGAGAACTATTCCCTGGAATGTTCCAAATCTCTGTCTCCAGGGAAAGAGGCGTGGATGACCCAACCCAGAGTAGACTATGCCACCAGGAAATAAGTATGAACCTCAAAACCAGACCTCCCTCCCCCTGCCACACACACACACACACACACACACACTGCCTGAGACTCTTACTTTGTTGACAGGCCGACAGGACTGAGACAGCAGCCAGCAAGATTGAATGCCCAGCCATCTTTCACATGGAACGTTCTGGTTCAGGGAACTATTTGTCGAAATCCAGGGGATGATAACAGGCACTCTCGACTTTGTAATGTTGACCTTCCTTATAAGGTAAACAAAGCCGGAGGAGAGGGGAAAAAAAAAAAAGGCCGATGCAAACGGCGGGGTGACCTTTGCTCTGGAACAGGAATTGGGAAGGCAGGTCGATCTGGAGCTGCCAGTCACAGATCTCTATCTGGCCGGGTTGCTGCCTCCCGAGCTTGCTGGAAGTCTCTCTCCTCCCTGGCGCTGGGGCCGCTGCTCAGCCTGCGGGATTAGCCAGCCCTCTAGCAGCAACACCAGAACGTAGACTTTCTTCTCAGCCAATTCGGAACCAACTTCCCCTCCCCCTCTCCCAACTCCCCGGACCCTCGAGTCTCTTCCCCAACTGCAAGGCCCAGCTGAGCCCTTGCTCACTTCTTGTGGGAAAAGAGATGGAAGCATTTACTTAATCCCACTGAGATTTAAGGCTCATTTAAGTGGATTCTAACTTTATTCTCCGGTAAGTGGCAGAACTTAGATTTGAACCCGAGTCTAGCAGATTCCAGTTGTGCAACACCCCCCCCCCATATCCTACTGCCTCCCACTGTCACCTTGACTCTCCCATGGGCATGGTGACCATACATTTAAAAAAATAATAAACTAAAGTGTATGTTCTGAGAAGGAAGAGGGCCCTTAGGGGAAGAAGTGGAGCAATAGTTTAGGTTGACTTTTTTTTTTTTTAAAGATTTTATTTGATAGAAAAAGAGAGCGGGGGGTGCCTGGGTGGCTCAGTTGGTTAAGCGACTGCCTTCGGCTCAGGTCATGATCCTGGAGTCCCAGGATGGAGTCCCGCCTCGGGCTCCCTGCTCAGTGGGGAGTCTGCTTCTCCCTCTGACCCTCCTCCCTCTCATGCTCTCTGTCTCTCATTCTCTCTCTCTCAAATAAAAAAAGAAAAAGAAAAAGAGAGAGGGGAGGAACAGAGAGGGAGGGAGAAGCAGACTCCAAGCTTAGTGGGGAGTGGGATGTGGGGCTCGTGGGGCCCGTGGGGCTCGAGGGCCTTGATCCTAGGACCCTGGGATCATGACCTGAGCCAAAGGCAGATGCTTAACCAACTGAGCCACCCAGGCGCCCCTAAGTTGACTTTTATAAGACACAGCACAACGGGCATCATGCCAGTCCGAGCAATGCCCCACACCACCAGGCCCAGTGCAGATCCCTCCCTGGCTAGGGGCTTCTCTACAGAACCCATTTATAATAGCCCCTCCCCTCTGTCAACACAACCCTTTTGCTCCTTAAAGATGCTGCATCCTACAAAATAAAGTTGGGGCCCCGTTCTCATCTCACCCCCCAGCTCACTTAGAGGGAGCCTCAGGGCCAGCAGAAGGCCTATGTGCTTCAGCCTCACCCAGGTTTGCACTTGGGCTCCCTCCCCTGGCACTCAGTGATGAACAACCTTGCCCAGGATGCTGAGCCTGAGCCTCAGTTTGATAAGATGGGCTAATAAGGGCTGAAGGGACACAGAAGTGCTATAGGGCTGTTATGAGTATTGAATTAGTTAACATTTATCAAGCACTTAGAACAGCACATAGCATCCAAAACTGTGTTCGGGGTTTGTTAAATAAATACACAAAAGGGCTTTATGTAAGGGGCCAAGGGCGGGCCACCCCAAGAGGGGCCACTTTGGCATGAAGATTCAGTTAAACAGCGGTCAAATCCAGCAGATTCAGAAAAAGCTCTTTACCTCCCCCCCTCAGCTGCCTAAAAATAATTTAGAGAACCTGCATCAGGAAGCGAGGTATCGCTGTAGATAACCACAGTATGATATGTATTAGGTGTGGTAGATAGAGAAGAACTTAATCAGGCCTGTTTGATCAGAGTCCTCTATGTCCCATTTTTTCTGTATGGCCCAGCGAACACTTGTTTACCCAACATTTACCATTTTTCATCTTCCTGTGAAGTGCATTCCCTCCCTTTGAAGTCCCAGACCTCTACCCCCTTCTCCTTAGTTCAGAATGACATGTATACGTCATTTTGCCTCTTTTTGGAATTTCCATGTTTATCAGGATTCCTCGGATGTGCACCATTAAATTTGACTTTCTCCTGTTAATCTGCCTCAAGTCAATTTGATTCTTAGTCCAGCTAGAAAGACCCTTGAGGGGACAGAAAATTCTTGCTCTCCATCAGCATCTAGAAAAGTACTTAGCATATTATGTACCTAATGTTAAAAGATATATTTTAAAAGGTAAAAATCATGCCTCTCATACAAATATAAAATGAAAACACATCAAAGGTTTTATCAAATTCATTAATGAGGGAACCGAGATGACCTTTTAACTAGTTCAAAGGAAAATTTTAAAAAACCACACATATATGGTGTTAAAAAACAAAACTCAGCTGAGTACATGTTAAAGACCCTATTGGCATTATTCAACTACTCATGCATCCAGCAGACAGGAAGGAGCTCTGAGGAGCTGTACGAAATGAAAGACTATTCTAGGCAGAAGGGGGGTGGAACAAGGAAGTTAGACCAGACAAAAAGTAAATTGCTTTTGCAAGGTTACTTTCCTTTAGGGCATGGCAGGGGTTCATCAGGCAGATTACTTAACTAATCCTGATCAGGTGATTCCTGATGGACTAGTTTAAGATTCCATTTCTCCAAGAGCTGAAACAGTCATTAAGTTAAGTCTCTGTTGACGTGGGATTTAGCGTAAATGACTCTATTTGGGGCTGGTTGTCTTGTTTTTAACAATAGGGAATAAGGAACGCTAAAATTAATTTACAAAGAGTTGCACACCAGGTCTGCTCACAATGCCCTGTTGGTCCCTTCAGGTTCCCTCTGCCCTCATTTGTTTTGAAATCACTGAAGAGGACAGTTATGTAAGAAGGCAGATCCTAGAAGTTCAGGACAGCACCGGAACTTCCTTGTGTATTTGATTGAATGGTTTTGGTCTTCAGTACACGGCAGGGATTCTAAACTGCATCTGAACTCGCATCACCGGATACTAAAATAACCCCCTCAAATGACAGGCCTCAAAGAAGAGGTCTGGGCTGGGCCCATGGGCGCACGGAGGCTCTCACAGGGAGAGGATTGCTCCGAGAAAGAGAAACAGCAGAAGGAAGAGGGGAGCCGGGAACGGGGCCCCTCGCCGATGACCACAACCTTTAGGTGTTTATAGCTCCTGTTTTGAGAAACTCGGGTACATCTATACTAGGGAACTAGTTTGGAAAGCAAAACAAAACAATTCCAGAGTGACCTTCTTTGGTTCCCACTGATTTGCCTTCTTCCCACTTTCCAGACCAATCTTGAGATTCCCTACTCACTTTTCCAAGCCAATCCCAGTCAGTCCCCAAATCCAGATCCTAAGAGATATTGATACAATAAAAAAAAAAAAAAAAGTGCTCAAATGCTTTGAAACCCCATGCATTCATGTGTAATCTGCTTTGATAGATATTAAAAGTTGGTGGAGGGCGCCTGGGTGGCTCAGTTGGTTAAGCGACTGCCTTCGGCTCAGGTCATGATCCTGGAGTCCCTGGATCGAGTCCCGCATCGGGCTCCCTGCTCAGCAGGGAGTCTGCTTCTTCCTCTGGCCTTCCTCCCTCTCATGCTCTCTGTCTCTCATTAAAAAAAAAAAAAAAAAAAAAAAAAGTTGGTGGAGTTTTTGCTTCTAGGAAGGTGTAAAACAATGAAGTTCTAAATAATGAAATGTTCATCATCTTCTGTGGTGATAAAACTTCCAGATGATCCTACGGTTGAAATACTGGCAGAGCATGAACAAAAACCAGCAAAAATGTGAGTTTCTCTGTACATTTTCTGGATGGATTGAAGATGAAAAGCATTGCCCCCACAGATCCTTCTGGTAAGTGTCCCATCCCTTACGTTTTTGTAAGAAAAGAAAAACAAAAGGAGAAGCAGCATATTGGTAATTATAATAAAGTGGGGGTTTTTTAAAAGATTTTTATTTATTTATTTGACAGAGAGCGGCAGGCAGAGTGAGGGGGGAAGCAGACTCCCCACTGAGCAGGGAGTCCAATGCGGGGCTCAATCCCAGGACCCTGGGATCATGACCTGAGCCGAAGGCAGACACTTAACGACTGAGCCACCTAGGCGCCCCAATAAAGTGGTTTTTAAAATATTTATACTACCTATAGAAACTCAAAAGAATCTATAAGGGTTTCTGCAAATTTACCTTATTCATGAGTGTTTGTTACTAAAATGATACTCTGGGTAAGGCAAGGCAGGGAGGCCAAGGTCTGGCAACATAAAAACCACTCTGACCCATGTGAAAGATCTGTTGTCATGAAATGCAAACTGTAAATGCAACCGTTTCCTTATACTTGTGGTAATAGATGAAAAGAAATGATATCTTTAAGTAGAGACATGTTCCCTCTCAGACCAATTGCATGCCCCCAAATTAGTGCCTGGCCTTGCCTTCTCCACTCTATCCCTGGCCCTTAGAAACTGGTAGCTGGTCATCTGGTTTCTGCCAGCACGGTAGCCCAGGCCACCGCTGCTGCCAAGAGCCCTCGTGGCAGAGAGAGACAGAGAATGCACACCCTTCCCCAGGATGCCCAGGAATAATCAGAGCGATTATGACATCAACAGCCATAATACTCTTCACGGGAAAAGACACCATGCAAGGTTCTCCATGGGCCTAGAGTTTATTGCATTATCTTACCAGAAGCCCTGACCAGTTGAAGAATCCTGTCGCAACATGGCACATGTTTAAACAAAACTCAGATAAACCAAATTTGAAATCATGCCGCAACCTTCGTGGTGTAAAAATGGAGAGAATTGCAGCAATCCCTCAGAGTATGTCCTCCCCTTTTAGAAACTGGAGCTCTTTGCTCTGCAGTCCTGGGTGTAGACAATGAAGCTTAAGAAGGCCGAGGCATCTTCCCCATTGAAAACTTTGCCCTGGGCCAGACGGGGCACAGGGAGGATGACCGTCGGGTTCCACCAAGCTTCAGACACAAACTGTCACCTAATACCAGGAATGCCCCACCAAGGCTCAAAGACAGGGACAAAAGAAGAGTGGAAAAGAAAGAAAAAGAGATCAGTTGCCAGTGTAGTAGAGTAAAAAGAGTAAATAGCACGGAAGCAGCTGTCTCTGCCACTTCCCCCCACGCCCTCCCGCCCTGAGTGGGCCCAGAAGAGACGAGATCTATTTGTCGAGAAGGCCATTGTACAAGGCAACAGATGATCGTAGAATGCTGTTACGATTTCCAATACTGCAAGGATTTCCCAGAAGAATGGAAACAGAGTGCTTGAATTGCTTCAAAATGGCTTTTGACAGTAATAGAAGGTCTCAGCCCGAGTTGTCTTAAGTTTACATGAGGCTTAGGAGAGGATAAAGTAAAGCAGAATCTGGAGACTGGTGAGGAGAACGAGAAATCCTCATTCTCATGCTTGACAACTCCCAGCACATGCAGCCTTCCTCTCTCTCTCACACACACACATACACACACTCACTCACACATGTTTATGCTCACACACACTAAACACACCGATGCACACATTCAAAACCCACACCCACACACTCATACACACCCACGCATACTCATGGTGCTACACCCGTGTCCCAAGAGAGGATGTGGAAGCGGAATGTTTACACCTCAGAACACATATTCTCATGGACATTATATAATGGTGGCCATATTTCCAGGTTGCCACACATTAAACAAAATTTTAACCCATAAGGGAGAGACCATATTGCATATTGGTGATTGAACAACAACAAAAGGAACTAACACTATTGATTTGCCTCTTTCATTTAATCGTTACTAATTTTTTTTAACTGACTAGTGTGTAGAATTAAGTACTTTAAAACAGGGGTCGTTGGCATGAACTCCCTGCCCTGCCCCATGGGGAGAAGCCAGGCTCCCTGTGGGCCGGGCCAGAGCTGGATTCATAAATTTGCTGAAACCAGAGTGGCAAAAGGCAGATAAGCCCTGAGCCTGAGCGCCGAGGCACTCTGGGTGGGCCCCAGGCTGCTGAGAGGGCCTCGGTCTGCCAGGGCCTCTGATGTCCACCACGACCCCCCAGCTCCCAATTCCACTCAACAGAAGGGAAGATCTAAGCACCGTGCCAGGTCCCGTGCAGAATTGTCTCAGCTAATCTGCATAATCAAACAATGAAGTACATATTTTATTCCCATTTTTCTGATGGGAGAAACTGAGGCTCAGAGGTTAGTGATCTGTTCAAGGTCAGTAGAATCCATCCCACTGATCCCAAAACCTTGTTCTTAGCTTTGGCTACACGTTGGAATCACATAGCGGTCATTAAAAATAACTGATGCTTGTTCTCTCTGCTCACAGCAATACAGATTTCACTGGTCTCAGGTTCAGCCTGGGCACCTCAACTTTTTGAAAGCTCCCTAGATGATTCTAATGCTCAGCCAAAGAGGAGAACCACCATCATAAGCAATATTTCTTAGTGGGGTCCTCACCACCCACTACCAACACCTAACACCTGAGGTGATTTAAACATGTAGATTTCTAAGCTTCATCCAGGATCCATTATTAAGCGTGTATTTCACGTTGGTTAAGCATACACGGGCTCACATAATATCACTCCTATGAGGTTGTAAATTATTCTCATTTTACAGATAAGGAACCAGATTCAGGGGTCTTTGGGAGTTTACCCAGTGGCTCCATCTCACTGCTCCCCACAGAGGAGAGATCACACACCCTGTTGGGGGCGGTCAGGGGGAATGAACTAGCTGGTTTAAGCCGAGGTGGGCATCAGCGGAGCCCAGGCTTTTAAGGGGTATGGAAGTTTCTGTGGCGGCAGGAAGGAGGAGATGGGGCTGGAGGGGACCGGTGGGGGGCGGGTGCAGGCCGGGGGGGGGGATGCTGGAGGCCACAAGGGGATTTCCACAGGAGGGATTCCTGGGGTGCCTGGAGGGAGGCAGGAAGAGAAGACAGAGGAGGGAAACTGAGGCTGAGCTGGGGGAGACGGGGTGCCCTGAGCTACCAGCAGAGAGAAGTCTGGCTGGGGCCCATGTCTCAGCTAATTCCACTTTGGAGCTACGAGCACTTGCCCACTAACTGGCTTTGAGGTGCATCTAGACCAGTGGTTCTCACATTAGAATCACCAAGGGTGCTTTTTAAATAAATATCAATTTAACTGAGAAATCATGTGGATTTTATGACACCAGCAAGACCAGCTACTGCCTTGGAGAACTTACTGAGATTTCTCTGCCGTAGGAGAGCTTACCTCCTCTGCACCCAAAACATAGCATTTCTTTTTTTTTTTTTTTAAGATTTTATTTATTTGTCAGAGAGAGAGAGAGAGAGACAGAGAGCGCACAAGCAGGGGGCGAGGCAGGCAGAGGGAGAAGCAGGCTCCCCGCTGAGCAGGGAGCCCAATGCGGGGCTCGATCCCAGGACCCTGGGATCATGACCTGAGCCACCCAGGCGACCCCAAAACATAGCATTTCTCTTCAGCTTGGCCGTTAAGGTTTCAGTGTTACTTTGTCTCTGGTGCGCCGCTTCCTTCATTAGCCATCCTCTGCAGCCAGGAAAGAAATCTAGCTCGGAGATGGTGTTGAGTGACTGGACCACTTAAGAAAAAGAAGCTTGGGCTGTGGGTTCCCCGGCTGTCTCTCTGGGGCTTGTTAAGGCAAAAGGAAAGGGCAACTATCCCCCTCTTGATGAGAAAACACAAAAGGTCTTCGACTGAGAACAAACAGCTAAGAGCAGCTCTTACGTTGAAATGCAGCACTAAGCCTGAACGGGGCTGACTCACTAACTGCAGTGATTGCAACACAGTGCCGCCTGTTACAACCTGACTCACCGCAACAGGCATCTGAGCAACCCTAGGCCAGGGCAGGGCCTGCAGAAAAAGAAACAGAACCAAACAAAACAGTCTGCCAGCCCCAAACAGGAAAACCTAGGGTAACACCATGAAGCATGAGACCCTGCTACTGTTTTCTTCTGCTGCCTTAGCAAGAGGATAAAGAATTTCAGAGATGGATTGAAAGATGGTTTTCTTTTTTTCCTTTCTTTCTTTTCTTTCTTTTTGTTTATGCCTCCCGCTTTCCCTTAGATTGCGTTTGGCTCTTGCCTTTGTTTCTGGGACTTTGTCAGCAAAGCATCCTCAGAATTTGTTTCTGGGACTTTGTCAGCAAAGCATCCTCAGAATTTCAGTCCCTGGCAGGTCCCAGGTAAACCTATCTGGGACCAGAATTCCAGATGAAACAGCTTCATCAGCCCGTCTACGCATCCGACCTCCTCCTGCCTCCGTGAGCCCATTTCCCATTCTCTTCTCAAAGGATGCATGGACTCGTCATCTTAGTTCATCCCTAATTTGATTCTGAATAGCCACACCTTCAGAGCTGGGAGCTGTGGCTTAAACGTTGTCCTTTTCATCCAGAGAAGTTATATTTTGTCAAACCACTAGGGGGAGTAAATCCCAGGGTTGCCACCACTCCAAGGATTCCACAGCTCTGAAGGAAGCCGGCGCTTCGGGACCAGGCAGGCACTCCGTTAGTCTCCTCCTCCGGCTTTCCAGAGGTTCCCAAGAATGCCCATCAGCAAACTAGAAAAGTCAGTTAACAAAAACTGTTTGCCAAAGTCATTTCTAAACAATGCCCTAAAAAATATTTTTCAGGTTCTCAGAGATCAACATACTGACCATTTCCAGCAAGAGCCTTACAACGCTCAGGAGCCTCCAACAGGCTCAAAACCCACAAGTGCTTAAATGTAAAAATACCAGGACTTCACCCTGACCCGTTCAAAACTGAACACCATCGAAACACAGTTTGTGCCCCCAAAGACAGGATCCAAAACAGGACACTTCACATTTGGCATCCCTGTTGGAGACTATAGGAGGTAGTCAGGAATGAGAGGTGAGAAAAGACAAATGAAATCCCATTTGGTGGATACAGCAGCCCAGGGGGAGATCCAAAGAATCAGATACAACATCTTGGACTTTGATTTGATCCTTCAATGCGCCTCTGGCCTCTAGAGTGTTTCGGTAAGATTCTGGAGTACTCCCCATAATATTCACATAAATGTGTTGCAAAGGAGTAGGTCAGAACGCTGGGCAGACTCTGGAGAGATTCTCAGGACCAGGTAGACAGTTTGGTTGGTAAAACATCAGAGAACGGGGCCTTCACCCCCACCTGGAGCGAGGGCCCTGCTTTGAAGTGGCCGAGAAAAATCTAAAGCAAGGAAAGGAAGGAATCTGAAAATATTCCCCAGAATACATGTAAGGAGTATTCATTCATTCATTCATTCAATATCAAATTGAGCACCTCTCCCCTGCCAAGCTCTGTGCTAAGCAAGAGAGACAGCCACTCTGCGGTCATGCAGTTAACAGAGGAGTGAGGACAAGCATTAACAAGGCTTCACAAAGCTAATTAATTCTCGATCATTGTGACGAGTACTGGGAGAAGTCCTGGATGCCATTCAGGGAGTAGCCTAGCCTGGGGGGCGGAAGAGCCTTCCCCCAAAGTGGCCTTTTAGCTGAGAACTGGTAACAAAATGTCAGCTGGGTGACTGGGCTGCAGGTGTGTGTGCTTGGGGTGGAGAGAGAGGAGCAAAGGGAACGCCCCAGGCTGAGGAACAGCAGTGAAAGGGCCTGAGGAGGAAAAGGCCTTGGCGTGGTCAGAGAATGCTGAGAGAAGTGCAAGGCGGCTGTTGCCCAGAGACAGGGAGAGAGTGGGGGGTGGGGGGGACCGGGGAGCCAGGGAGCTGGGGCCTGCCCACACAGGGCCATGCTGAGGGCACTGACTTTAGACCAGAGGTTCTCGACCAAGACAATTTTGTGCCCCACCCCCACCCCTGGGGACATTTGACAGCGTCTGGCTGGGGAGTGAGGTGCTACTGGTAACTAGTGAGGCGAGGTCAGGGATGCTGCTAAACTTTATCCTACACTGCACAGGACAGGCCCCAGGCCCCACCGCAAAGAATGATCTCACGCAAAATGTCAGCAGTGCTGAGGCTGAGAAGCCCCGTTGCATAATGAGGATGCGGGTTCTAAGCGGGCCGATGTTGTAACGAGATTTGTTCCAAAAAGATCACTCTGACTTCGGTGTGGACTGATGGGGGAGAATCCCGAGAGTAGACAGAAAGGGATCTGTGAGGAAGGCATATTGTGGTCTAAGCAAGAGAAGATGGCAGCGAGGGTGGAGAGCGTCAGCGTGGGTGGAGAAAAGTGAATGGCTAAGAAAGATATTTAAAAGCACAGATCAGGGGCGCCTGGGTGGCTCAGTCGTTAAGCATCTGCCTTCGGCTCAGGTCACGATCCCAGGGTCCTGGGATCGAGCCCCGCATCGGGCTCCCTGCTCCGCGGGAAGCCTGCTTCTCCCTTCCCCCTGCTTGTGCTCCCTCTCTCGCTATCTCTGTCAAATAAATAAATAAAATCTTAAATAAAATAAAATAAAAGCACAGATCAGATTTGGGGACAGGCTGTGGATGGCAGCTTAGCCCGTGTCTCCAGAGCACAGAACCAGAGGCGAGACGTCAATGCCGATGCTTTATTTGGGCAGTACAACAGCCGGGCTCGCAGGAGCGAAGGGAAAGGGCGCAATGATGGGAAGAGTGTGTTTCCACCTGGGCCACCGCCCCGCTGAGCCGCAGGCAGCCAGGCGCTCAGGATGCCTGCGGAAAGGCTATGGGAGACACCGCCTCGGGAGGGAGGTCCTCTGAAGGGAGGAAAGGAAAATGCATCTTCTATGTCCTGTCTCCCATTGGTCAAAGTTTACCCTGGGGCAGTTTTAATACCTATCCCCCAATTCCTTGAGATTTCTGTCACCATGAAGCGGGGACTACATCGTCTCCTGTGAGTCGGACTGGTGTGAAGACCGCGCCCGTAGCCGGGAGCAGGCAGCGGAAGTGATGTTCTGTGACTTGCAAGGCTCGGTGGTCAAAGGCCCTGCGGCCACTGCCTCGCTCAGTAAGCGTCTGTGCTCAGAGCCCTCAGCGGCCCGGTCAGAAGTCAGCTTCCCCACGGCCGCCACGCTGCGATGAAGCCCGGGACGCGGAGAGAGCCCGCGGGGGAGGCCGTGCTTGGCAGCTCCGCCTATAGGCCCAGACAACAGCCAGCAGCAGCTGCCAGACCTGGGTGCGGGCATTCTAGTGCACGATCCCACAGTCGCTCCCAGCCCAAGGCTGGCTCCCCAGCTGCAGCCTCCGACACTGAGGGGCAGAGACGAGCCAGTCCTGCGGTGGCCTACTGACCCAAATAACCGATGAGCCTACTTCCGTGGGTGTTTTCAACCCCTAAACTTTGAAGTAATGTATCACGCCTGAGCAGTCCCCGGAACAACCTCATTGCGAGTTAAGACTCCACCTTCCAGGATGCACCATTTGCCCCTTTGACACCACCCCGTGCCCCGCCATGTGGCATTTCAGACAGGAGCCACGGATGCCAGGAGGATGGCTGGTGGCTCTCAGGTGGCAGATTACAGATACCCCACGGGGAGTCAGTCCATCACAGTGGAGCCGAGGTGGAGGACTCAGGAGAGAGATGAAGCCAAGAACATTGGGAACGGCATGCTAGAAATGTCTGAGAAGGGTGGTAAGGTAGAGGGTACACAGGACTTAAGGATTCCCACATTTCTGGTCTCTGAACTTGAGCAAGCAGGTAGGGTTACTGAGATAGAAATTAGATAAAAGGAGGGGGCTCAGTTTCAAGGGTCTGTGGATCCACTGTATAGGGCAAGAAAAGGGAGCCCAGGTCATGGAAGACGGGCAAGGTTTTTGGTCTTAAGGCTGCAAGGCCCCAGGAGGGTTTAAGGTCTATCCCGCATTCTTCTTTCCTCTGTCATGAATACTTTCCAGGTCTTCAGGTGGGACCCTTGCCTGGCTACATCATGTATTCCAAGAATAGCATGTTAGAGAAGACAAAGGTGGCCCCCCAGGAGAGTACATGAGGTCTGCAGGAGCTGCCATATAGAGAAACACACCCTCTACCCCAGTAAGATACAGGAGAGATGGCATCAGAAGTCTTTTTAATGTATGGGGAAAATGTTTTCGTTATTTTCAAATATGTTGGAGTCCCTTCTCAACATAGAACTCTCCTCTATCTCCTCCCTCTTACCTTTAACCCAAACTGAAAATGTTCTACATGAGCATAATGTTCATCTGTTTTGCATTGTTTAGATAACTGGGACCTTTGACTCGTGTTCTTATCAATGTTGCTTTAGTTCATGGACTCATCATCTTCCCAGGCCTGGAGGAGATCTCAAAAAGTAAGAATGTAAAACAGTTATCCATGCCCCCCACCTCCTGTTCCTGATTGTCAATAGGCAGGGCCCTCTTCTAAAATGAGAAGTCAAGGTCAGGCCCGAGACACTAGCTCTGATTCCTTCAAGGGCAGTGCCAGTGCCTGGGGGTCCCCCAGTCTCAGCCGGGACTCCCATGACCCACGTGCTCCTGTTCTCCCAACCTGCAGATTCAGGTATTTCCAGGCCTCCTAACCCCACCGCTAAAATCAAGAGAGCAGTGCCTACAGCAGGAATAACATTTGATTATTTACAGAATCATGTAAGTTGTGGTGGGGAGCAGGGGAGGGAGGACTACAAGAATGAAGAAGGGAAGGAGGGATAAAACATTTACTGAGGCACCACGTTCCTGTACTGTTCCTGGGACTTTTATCTCCACGAATCCTACAAAATCCTGTTGGTATTAGTGACCCATATTCTTTTTTTTACATGAAGAAGCTCGGGCACCAAGAAATGAATTAACTTGCCCAAGATTATGCAGCTAATCAGATGCAGAGCCAGAGTCCACTTTTGACTCCAGCCCAGTGCTCTCTGCACTATCACCTTCTTCCCAAAGGTCTTTGTATCGACCTCTCTGTCACTCTTATGGAACAGAAGGCAGTTCTGGAAGTTTTGGGGAGACGGGGCTGCGTGCACAAGAACCACTGTACCTCTCCCTGAGCGCCACCAGATGGCGCAGTGAGAGGCTAAAATCTGCTGGGTTTTATTAGTGCTTTTGGAGAGACAGACAAGCGTGGGGGAGAACAGCTGCAAGGAGAATGTCAAAACAGAGTTCTATTTAGGAAAGTGAAGCCTTCTGCCTGGCCCTGTCTCCCACCGGGATCCTTGGTTGGCTCTCCGCAGACTATAAATGAATTTGCTTCTTTCTTCCTTCCCATCCTACTGCTAACCCACATCTCTGATTCTATTTTCTCTCCAGCCCTGACACAAGGGCACTAGTCCCACCCACATCAGGGAATAGTGCGTCCTGAAGAGAGAGGGCAGGAGCCAAGCTGGGGGCTGGAATCGGGGCCTGCAATCCTCCCCCATAGCAACTGGTGGACCGTTTCCCAGACGTGTCCCCTCCCCGTCATTTACCCAACACACACACGCTGGTCTCAGGTACCTGAGTCTGCTCCGGCTGCCATAACAAAGTACTACAGACTGGGTGTCTTAGACAACAGAAATCTATTTTCTCACAGCTCTGGAGGCTGGAAGTCCAAGATCAAGGTGTTGGCAGGTTTGTTTTCTTCTGAGGTCTCTCTCCTTGGCTTGCAGTTAGCTGCCTTCTCGCTGTGTCCTCTGTATGTGCATCCCTGGTGTCTCTGTGTGTGTCCTAATCTCCTCTTCTTATAAGGACACCAGTCAGACTGGATTAGGACCCTCCTTAGTGGCCTCATTTTAACTTAGTCACCTCATGGAAGGCCCTATCTCCAAATACAGTCCCATTCTAAGGTACTGGGGATCAGGGCTTCAATATATGAGTCAGGGAGGGGGCACACAATTCAGTCCATAACAGAACCAATCACTTATTTTTTAAAATCATGAGTAATGGGCAAAAATTTTTTGTTTAATTTTGGCCCCAAGAGGGCATAGGAAAAAGTCATAGGTCACAATGTGCTCAGGATGTTCACTCCAAGAACTTCATCAATTGTGTAATGTTAAGGATAAAGACAGCTGAAGCAATCCAAGTAATTGCAAAATGGTCTGTCCCAGGGGCTCACGTCGTAGCCCTGATGGATCTCTACATGTCTCTAACTGATGAACTAACTACAACACCACCAGCTATCTGCTCCTCTATGAAAAGCCCCGTTTCCCTTCATGTCTCTCTTTTGAACCCCCTCCAATGCCGAGCACTCCTAGAGGTCATAGAACTCCCTCGTTCGCCAGGCTTTCTACCCCGGAGGTGATTTGCGGATGGCTACCCGGATCTCCTTGACATACCTTGGGGGGCCGTAGGGGTGGCAGAATTGTCCCCAGGTTGAAAGTTCAGGCCAGAGGGTCTGTTCAACCTGGGAGTGCCCTGGGCCAGGCTCCATGGTGCCTCGTTTAGAAGAAGGTCATAGAGAATTAAGATATCCTGAAGAAGTTGTCCCTTCCCAGAGGGAAAACTATAGAGGGGAGACAAGGGAAATGCCTAATTAGGGAATAAAGAAGACAGTTCCTGTGTGATGGTGGCCAACAGGGCCCGGGCATGGAGGTCTGGGTTTCCCTGAGCTGGGAAGAGATTGTGTGCTCATTTGGGTGGCTATGAGTCTCTAGCCCCTGCTTTTCCCCAGACTGCCCTGCTATCCCCTCAGAGGGCAAACGAGCACTAGTCAACAGCCTAAGCCATTCTCTGCCCTCGAAAGGGCAACTTGGTTTCTTCAAGACAAGATTTCTGCACTCGGGTGTTCTGTCACGGTCACGTCAAGTCCTAGGGTGCAGGCACCACAGCGGGGCCCATATGATGCTGTTACGAGGCTAACTGCACAGTCAGGGTCATGGCTTTGTCAGACACATGGCAGGCAGGGAAGGGGAATCGGTATCCAGAATAAGTGTCTATTTTAATGAGAACAAAGTGTGCCCCTTCCATTATGGAAGTGTCTTTGGTCATCAACCTGCTACCAGGGGACACAAGGATTACTTAGGGAAAGGGGACATTCTCTAGGAAAGTTCTGCTTCCCATCCCTACAACTTCGAGCTTTGTTGGCCTAGACATTTTAGTTCCCAAAGAAGGAATGCTGCCACCAGGAGACACAACCATGGTTGCGTTAAACGTGCCGTCTGGCCACTTTGGGTTCTTCATGGCAGGGAATCAACAGAAAAAGAAGGGGGTTGTGTACTGGCTGAGGTAATCAGTCCTGATTTTCGAGGGGAATTTGGGTTCCTCCCGAGGAGTATGTCTGGAATGCAGGCGTTTCCCTCCGTGTCTCTTAGTACTCTCAGGCCTTGCATTGAAGTCCACAGAAAACTACGTTATCAAGACTGCCAATGGCCCAGACCTCTTGGGAATGAAGACAAGGAATCATGTCTAGTCAAATTTGCTAGGGACAAAGGAAATATGAAGGAAGTAAAGGAGGAAGGTAGTTACAAATGTCAGCGAAGACCATATGATCCACTGTGGAAACAATGGTGGTAGTTAGGAGCATTTCTCTCTTATTTTGATGTGAAGTTGTATCTACAGTAACTAGTTTTTTCTTTTCCCCTCTTCCGTTCACCTACCATCCAACGTAAATGCATGCATAATTTTTAACTTTCTATTTCCCAGAGACAACGTAACTCTGTGAGAAAGACAAATAATTATCACCCAAAGAGGGAAAGGGGACTCTGGGTCATCTTTTGCAGGAGTATGTTTTTGGTTGTATGAGAGACAGTTACAGTGTGATAGATGGAAGCATTATTTTGCTACTTTCTTAATTTGGAATTAAATCTAAGTGTCATTAAAAGAAGAATACAAACTCCATCCTGAGATGTATCCGGTGGGTTTGTATAGTGTTGGTTTAGTTAAGCTAGAAATATGTCCCCTTTCTGAGAAGTTCTGGGTTCATCTGGGCCACAAGGACATTTTGTGTGAGATTCAGAAGGCTGAAGTGAAGCAGCAATTTTCTTCTTTTTGTATTAGAAGGTCAGCCCTACAGAATACAGGGGGCTGTCGCCACTCATGTACATGGCCCTCATGTGCTGGCTCTCCTTGCTGGCGTGGGGCCCAGCTGGCCCGCAGCTCCTCTGCCCCTGGCAGATCTCCTTCCTCAGCCTCTTTGACTCTGGGCCAAGTGTACGTTTCATCCTGGGATGAAGGGCACCAGATTGTACCATAGATCACTCCCATCAAGCAGGCTGGAGGTGGGGGGAGATGAAAGGCTGACATGACTTGCATTCCATCGTCATGGTTTCAGGCCATCCTGGGATAGTCTAGTATGTCCTTGCTTCCTCCCCTCACATCTTCCCTTCCCAACTGCCTGCCCTACTGACATCAGGAGCCAGCAACAGACGCAATAGCCACCTAGAGACTGGATAACCAGGTCCCACACTTCACAAGGTCAAGTTCCTATAAAAGCCCTATATATATATATATATTTAATTTTTGTGTCTCTCTAAAATTCGTGGAAATCTTAACCCCTAATGTGTTGGTAGGGGAGGGGGCTTTGGGGAGGTGATTAGGGCATGAGGGTAAAGCCTCATAAATGGGACCAGTACCCTTGTAAGAGAGACCCCAGTGAGCTCCCTCACTCCTTCTACCATGTGAGGACATCGTGAAAAGAGGGTCATCTCTGAACCAGGAACTAAGCCTTGCCAGACACCAAATCTGCTGACATGTTGATTTTGGATTTCCCAGCTAAAGAACTGTGAGAAATAAATGTCTGTTGTTTATAAGCTACCCAGTCTCTGATACTCTATTATCATAGCCCAAATAATAATGGAAACATACGTGTGTGTGTGCGCGTGCGTGCGCATGTTTCTGCTTCTCAGACTGAATTCTGACCCACACAGATTGAAAGGACAAGAAGAGCCAGAGGAACAAAAGGGAGGGACTGTGCCAGTCCTGTTTCTCCCTACATCTCTCCTCACCCTTTCCCTGCCCTGCTCCGTGTCTCCCAGGCTCCTCCATCAGCTGGCCAATGGAAACCTTAAGAGAGCTAAGAGGGCAGAGGAAGACAAAGCCAAGGAATTTCTTCATCTTGTTCCGCTTGCACGTCTTACCTGGCCCTGTCTGCCTCTCTTCTCTATCTCCAACTCCCTCCCAGCACACTCACCATTATTTTGCCCATCACCTGGTGCCTTTGGTCCTGGGCTCTGGTGATGCTGTCTCCATCTCTGTCTCCAACCTAAAGGTGGTAGGCTTCATGTTGCTTGTTGCTAACCTGCAGGGTGCCTCCTCAGCCAGTTTGACTTCTCAGTCCATCCATCCCTCAGGGGACCAATTCCCTGTATTGGATTCCCACTGTTGTAGACGCTCAGAGTAGTTTCTGTTTGCCTGATTGGACCCAGTCTGAGTCTACCCGCT